TGTTCTTTCAACCTGGTGTCCACAGAACGGCCCGTTTGCCCAATGTAGACCTTGCCGCACTCGCAGGGGATTCTGTAAATTCCCGGTGTCCTCAGTCCCAGGTGGTCCTTGGGAGGCCGGAGGAAATTAGATATTTTCTTTGGAGGCAGGCCAACTGATTTGATGATGTGTCGAGACAGCACTCTGCTAATCCTGTTGAATATAGTCCCGACAAAGGGCAAGAAGGCGACAGTGTCTCTGCGGTCATCATGTTGATTGTAGTTGGGACGGCGGTTGAGGGCCCTTCGGATCTGCCGGTCGTTATAACCATTCCGTCTGAAGATGTCCTTCAGGAACTCCCCACGCAGGCTGTCTTGATCGCACGGAGCTCAGCCGTAGATGAACACAGCATCGAGCTAGTCCATCGTATCCAGTTCTTCTTCATGTCATTGACGTTAGTAGCCTGTCCACAGTTCATGTCATTGACGTCAATAGCCTGTCCCCAGTTCATGTCATTGATGTCAATAGCCTGTCCCCACTTCATGTCATTGACGTCAATAGCCTGTCCCCAGCCAACCGGTTCTTCTTGTTTAACCGCCACCTCCGTGCCATTGACCTCCAAGTTGCCTAGATTCACTGGCCGGTATCCCCCCCATTCGCCCCCCAGACCATATATGGCCCTAATCGCTGTTCACTCTTCCCATTGGTCCCCTCTCCTAAACCCCCCTGCCTACTTCATATATACACTAGTGCTTTTCACTTCCCAATCATTGCAGCTACTGCTCTTTGTATTCGCAACGCAATTCAACTGCCCTTGATCCTCCGAAACGTCGGTTAAAACCAAGAATACACTGCGCCAGATCCCAGAAGACGACTTTCTTCATAGTCATCGCCGTGAAAACCTCAAAACTTACAAAGTAAGTTTGATTTCTATATTCCGCAGAATGCTCTATAGAAAGAAAATATGAATATTTTTATACATAACGCCCTCGAAAATGTTCAGGAATTGTTTTTATTTTGTATATGAGGTCCTAAAGAAAATTAAAGGATTACTTCCTTTTTAAAAATATTTTTGCAGAGACATTTATAGGATTTCCCTGTTCGTGAACGTTATGTTTTGTCGATATACGAATATTCTCCGGTTAGACGTGATTTATTTGTGGTTTATTGTATTAAGGTAATATTAGCTTAAAATTATAACATTTGGACCAATGCCAACAAAAATTAGTTGAAGTAATTTTAATACGTCCTATAAACGGTAAAGCTATTCCTGTATCAGGCCGTTAATGCCCATAGGGTTGTGAGACGTCGAGGCTCCCACATTTTCTAGACAGTCGACTCACAAATGGCGGTAAGGTTGTCAGCCTTACGCTCCGGCTGCCTTTTATCACCAGGACAATTCCTGGTACTCATTTCTGTTAGAGGCTGAGTCGACCCCAGGGCTACAATGCGGCTGTAATGATTAGATCAATTGAAAAATGTAATTATGTCATCGGCTATCGAACCCGCAACCTTCTGGCTTGTAGCACAGTGCCTAAACCAACTACGCTATCGCGTGCCCTCAACATAACCTATTGTTCTCATAATTTTGGTACATATGAATTGAAATAAGTAAGTGTTTTGTGTAAGTTGCATTAAATTTATGAATGTTTTAATGCAGATTATGGAGCCTAACTTGAAGTGAAGTTCGGATGGCGGACCTACAGCCTCGTCCACTCGTCTCCTCAGAACACGCAGTGCAGGAGGGCGTCGCTAAGTGAACTTGCTCCCTGAGAGTCACAGAAGAAATGAAACAAGCATTAAAGTGATTTCATATGGAGAACAGCATATCCGAGACTACGAGATGGAAATAAATTGTTGCTTTCCACTGGAACTTTGATAAGTGCCAAGACTTTTTTGCAACAATTGTATGGACAAGAGCGAAATAAGGAAACTGAATCATCATGAACGGATGTGACGTTTGTGTTAATTAGAGTGAAATTGATCTGAGTGCAAGTGTTCTGATACATAATAAAGAGTAATGTTAACTCGCAGGCAGAGTAATTCGTACATTCTTGATTTCTGCATCGTCATACGTTGTTCATACTGATTTAAAGACACAAACGGAATCGTCAAGTGTAGTCAAACAGTGTCTTAGTGTGATAATGTTTACTTTCGCTAATATACGCTATCTTGTGGTGATGAATCAGTGAGGTTGCATTGTCATTAAATCTTTGACGCACGAACAGAGAGTCGGAATCTTCTGCAGTCTAGCTGCAATTGTCAGTGCAACTACAGTGAACAATTACTGCTATTCCTGATATGAATATATTCCGCTGGTTTCTTTTGGATGTCAGAAGATGTGAATAACGTTATATAGTTATTTATATTTAGCTTGCGAAGTAAGAAGGCCAACTAAATAACATATAAAAGATCAGTTCGTACCTCACAGAAAACATGCTGCGTATAAATTGTCGAAGACAGCTCGGTTAATGCTGTTTAGAGAAGTAACCGCTGTTGGTTGTGAGAATGAGACAGAACGCATAAATAGGGTTCTTGAGTATTAAAGCGGATGGAACCTATAATAACCAATTTGCTTAATGAACAACGTGAAAGTAAATTTCCAATATTGTTGTGTGGCTTACGTAATTAAAAATCGTAATGATGGAAAGTTTTAATTTGGCGGATTACGTGTATCAAGTTCAAATTTAATTGGCTCTAAGTACAAGAACATTGCGCAGAGAAAATAACATGAACATAATTGTATTATGGAAGAAATTAGATGAAATTCTGATTCGGATATTAATTTTAATATTTGGTATATGTTCTGGACGTTTTTAAGTTAAATTGAAATATTTCTTTTTTCGAACAAATATGAATTACGTTACGAAGCGAGATTATTTAATTTATTTATTTGTGATATATTTTATTAATCATATATGTTTGTTCCAAAATTATATTATTCAGAAATTGTTATTTAATTATGTCTATTATCTATGAAAATAGAGAAATAGAGTTCGATATTAATGACATGTAATTAATTGACTATAATACTGCGATGGACGCAGAACCATAACAATACATAATCACAATACATAAGTTATGGACACTAATGACGTGTGACACTGGTGATAGCTGATGATGTTCCGAAGTTTCAAGAATAAGTGTGTCCTGTGTTGCGTGACATGATGCAGATGGAAGAATGTTGTCGTGCGGCCATTACGTTGAACCCCACAGCCACTGTATCGGGGAACAGTGGAACATCAACCGAATGGGACGTCGAGATGGATATTCGAGAACATATTCAACAGTGTTCCTGTACTTGCAACCATATGGGTTATGGAAACTTCATGGACTATCAGGTAAGCAAGTAAACTGCATGTCATTAAAAATATATTTTTTTTTACAGTTCTGAAAGAGTTAATGATGTAATTTAATGTTACAGTATACCGTATTTACGCATGTATAGGCCGCACATTTTTTGCCAAAAATTCAAGAGGAAAACTGGGGTGCGGCTTATATTCGAAATATTCGAAATCACACTTCATTTAAAAAAATTATATTCATAATTAGTAATACAGGGTGTAATACTCCTGAAATAATATTCCAAGAAAATTATTTTTTTTATAATTTCTGTCTGAAAATTGTGCTGCGGCCTATACACGCACGCGGCCTATGCATTCGTAAATACGGTATATACCTAACCTCACAAATATAAGAAATGACAAATTAAATTAAAAAAAAAAGTGAAAGTCGGAGATAACGAATTACATGTCAGAACAAGAAACATAGAAAGAAATAACCGAAAAATATGAGGTAAATATTAACATAATCAAGTCCAAGTGATAAATATACATTTAAATATATCGTGTATAACTTTTGATCGTCTGGTGATTGTCCATAAAATGAGTTGGATATTTTTAATTCCTTATTCCGTACGTTAAGCTTGAGAGATTCTTCCTGAAAGGCAATTTCTCTGAGATAGACGAGCAAGCGTGCAATCATGAAATATAGGATTTATGAGAGATCGATTTTTTTGTTCTTTTCTGTGTACCATCAGATTGAGAGGATGTTCCTAAAAGAGAGTTTCGTCTTCCCAAATAGAATGGGCATGCGTATAATTCTCAATCTCTTAGGTTTAATGGTCGATAAATAATTCTTTTTTTCCTGTCAAGTACAGAGCGTTCAATCAAGGAGGAAACTTCGCAACACCACTGACCGGGCCCAATATTCCTCACAGATTGCTGCTGTAACTGTAACGGCCCGCGTTTATCAGCGCTAATGACTCATTCTGCTATCAGCAGTTACAGGAGCAATCTGTGAGGAATGCTGGGCCGGGTCAGCGGTGTTGCGAAGTTTCCGCCTTAACTGAACGCACTGTACTTTCAGATTGGCAGACTATTTTCGAAGACAGTTTCATCCCCTGAAATACATGAGTGTACGAGTGTATGTAATTCGAAAAATTTTCTTGACTGATACTAGAAAAGTCGACTAGGATATGTTAATACCTTGTTGTGTATGTTCGTATTGAGAGGTCGCTTCTTAGAATTTCATTAATTCAAATAGTTGAGCCTGGGTACTTTAAAAATGATGCAAGATTTTATATAAAAACCGCACACTGATTTTTATCTCATAAACGTGCCCAGAATGTTACTTCTAAACCTACACGGAATTTTATCTCAATAACGTACACAAAATTGTATCTTTTTTTTTTTGTTGCTAGTTTGGTGGGCTTGAGTCCCTTGTACTGCGTCCACTTCTGGCCCATTGTACCAGCCCCATATGATAGGTGAAGGTGATTGTGGAGCAATTGGTGGAATGAAGATTGGCAGGGGAAACCGAAGTACTCGAAGAAGACCTGCCCCAGCGCCACTTTGTCCACCACAAATCCCACTCGACCAGACCCGGGATCGAACCCGGGCCCCCGCGGTGGGAAGCCAGCGACTAACCACTTGAGCTATGGCGCGGCCCCTTCTTACAAATATACATAATATTTACTTCAAGAATGGAAGACTAGGACAGGAACTGTAAACTGAGAGAGATCTCCAAGTTTCCTCTGGCAGTTTCTCGAAAAGCAATTGACAAACTAATATAAACTACTTAACCCTTTGTTAACTCCCTTCTCAAGAGTTTCCAGCAAAGTTATGCTTCAATGTTACGCAGTACATGATGTGGTAAAATGCACGAGGATGAAGTTAGCAATTTATAGCAGCTCTCGCTAGGGGAAAATAGAGCGGCTGTGATCCTTAGCGTGTCCTTAATTCTGAGGAATTATTCCGATATTTGTTATATCTGAGATCCTAACTGCTGTGACTACATAATGCGCCGTGAAGTTTGGTAAATCGTTAGGAACATTTCGGAAGAAACTTCAGCTTCCATCCACCTTGAAGATATAAGGGTTCATATATCCCAGCACTCATGTTAGCAGTCTTAGAGCTAAAGTGTAACAAGTGTTTCAGTAATGAAAAATAACTTGAAGATTATTAACTTATGCCTCCTGGCGCTTGTTTCTGTCTTCAGGGTAAAAGACTATTCTGCCCTGTAGATGGAGGTAAGGCTGAAGGTAAAGGTGTACCTCTGCTTAATTATTTAAGCACTATGCCATAAAGCCATATGGGGGATTGGATTTGTAGCTCACCGCCTCCTAACCAATGGGTACCTTGGACTCTTGCCCCGGGGGTTAAAGCGGCAGGGCTATGAAGCTGACCACTGACCTACATCTAGTGTCGAGGTCCACAAAGTTGGAGCTGTACCTCTACTCCCCCATATGTGTGTAGTTTGAAATAGGTTTATTCGGAATATTAGTGTCTACCAAATTACACGGTGTCACATCCTGCTTGATATTGACGCATGATGGAGTGCGTATGGACGGGGTTTGGATTGGTGGATAGATTAATTTACAATTTACAGGTCGTAACTACAAGTAATTATAACACTATCGTTATTTCAACATTTTACGTTTCATTAGGGCACACAGTCTAGTGTTCTCAGTCTGTTACTAGACGTTTCCTGGTAACGGTTCCAACAATGGGTATTCATCTGCCTCCGGCTCATGTCCTCTCTTCACAGACTCTCGTACAGTACTGACTAACCTGACTTGTATTACGACCGCGAATAACACGCCATGTCCTCACAAGCTGTAAAGTGCATTGAGGTGGACGGTGGAATTTTCGAAAATGTATTATACTAGGTAAACTGTACCGATTTTGTCACTTGAAAAATAAAACTGGCGTCCAGTTGGGTCCGCTCAGCACGTCGGCCACTGATTGGCCTATTTTACCTGCCCCGGGTGATTATGATGATGAAGAATTTGGTGGAATGAAGATTGTCAGGAGAAACCGAAGTACTCGGAGAAAACCTGCCCCAGCGCCACTTTGTCCACCACAAATCCCACTTGTCCAGACCCGGGATCGAACCTGGGCCGCTGCGGTGGGAAGCTAGCGACTAACCGCTTGAGCTATAGCGCAGCCTCTAATACCGATATTAGAAACAGTACGTAATGTATCTTCCTTATCAACAGTTTTGGAACTGTACAATGAAATAGCTGTATCTCGAAAACCGTTCGGAATAGGACACGTGTACATGTACCTTTTTTTGTGCTTAGAGTGACCGATGCTGTGACCTCCCAGAATATTGGTTTTTCCTTCTTGTACACTCTGTATACGTACAAATATATGCACAGTGTGATGGTAATCGAAACCCCCCCTTTTTTTTCTTCTTATTTATGGGCTCCGGAAATGTGTAAATCCACCAGAATTTAGGGATCGATGTTTTCACAATGGCTGTACTTTTGCATATATATTACGTACATGACAGAGTAAAAGGAGAGGGCAGATGTCCAAGGTACAGAAGCGAAAACTCGTGGGAGGATGGAAGGAAATGTTGCCTCGAAACAAAACAAATGAAGACGACAATGCGGCAGAGAAGCGAACCGATGCTGGGTCGTGAAGTTAGGAAAGTAGCCCAGAATTCACAACAAAATGTAACCACAAGCTCGACGTTCATCTGTTATTTTATGTTATTTATTGTACAGCCTCTCGTGTTGTTGGACGCTAATTCAATGCTGATTTCAGTGTACCAAAATTAATTAATTAATTTCTCAAACGAAAAATTTATATATATATATATTAAAACATTTCATGATAGAGTAAATTGTAATTCTATCCAGCCAAATAAGTACAATCTATGATGAACGTGAATAAGCAGTAACTTATGAATATGACGACCCTTAATCAACTGCTGACACTTCATTTTGAGACAGCGTGCGCCGAAATTGTGAGATTGTGAAAACATAAAATTGTCCTTGTGTATAATGATGCATCGCGCCGTGACGACTTATAGCGTAGTAGAAGAATAGCGCCACGCATTATTAAACTCGATACTAGATGTGATGGTCAGCCTCACGCCTCGGTCGCTTTAACCCCGAGGAGACAGCCGCTGGTGCCCATTTGATAGGAGGCTGGATGAACCCCAGAGTCGATCTGGACGCTGTGTCCCTGTATGAAGTATAAACCCCTGTTTCTCCACTGTCCGGCCCTTAGTCAGCTACCATACCGACTGAGCTATCCCCTCTCCTGCTTGAAATTTATGCAGTTAAGATTTAGGAGGAGGAGTCGAATTGCACCCAAGAAGGCTACCACAGTGCGAAGTAAAGTAAACAATATTTTCCTTCTTTTTCTATTAAATTCGCGATAAAGAATCGGGGAAGAACAGGAACAGGAAATCAGAAAGCCCTGCTTTTTTCTTGATGTACCTGTCTTTAGATAAAGGCTGTGATGCTTCACACGTTCAGAAATCCTGCTGCGTGCTTCTCATGGAGTAGCCCCGATTTCAGTTAATCAGTTCTGGAAGCCCCAACATTACGAGGAGTCAGTAAACAGGTCACTAATGGAAGTAAAACATCTGTAGTGGACGTAATANCAATGATGAAATACAGAAGGAAATATCCCTTTTGTAAAGCAGAGTAAACTAACCCCCTTCCCAGGTATTGTATTGTATTGTATTTTATTTTCATCCGTTTTGCTACATAGTAACATTTGGACACGTCATTCAGTAATATAAGTTAACAAAATAAATCTACATAGTTACAAGCATACTACGAACTATATTGATTGATTAATTGATTGATTTATCCAGGAGTACAACTTAACAAACAAACCTACAAAGTTACAAGGATACTAACAACATTTTACAATCCTAAGCAATATGTAGATACTACATTTGAAAAAGAAAAAGAAAAAACAATACGCAAATCATTGTATACAACTTATGATTTGCTATGACATCCAAATATGAGTACTTTCACCATCCATCTTTTTATTTAAAACTAACGAATTCATTTATCGTGTAAAAGGAATGTTTC